AAGCATTGTGGAATTATACAACAAGTTTGATTAATCCAGGAATCATTTATAAGGTTATGATTTATGATGTGTCAGATTTGTAGTGCTGGTTTTCAATAAAAAAAAATTGAGAGGTGTTAGCTGTTTAAAATTTTAAAGTAATTTTTTTTAAAATCTTAATCCCTACAATTTATTTGGGAACAGTTTAGAAAAGAGGATGTTTCAATTAAATTATAAAAAAGTGACAAAATGGTTACCTGTGATTTCTGTTTTCTTTGGTTTCATTAACTGACCCATCATTGACATAATGTCTTGTCCTCCCTATAAAAGAAACAGATACTTCACAGATTGAGTATATTCACACACATATATTTATTACAATAGTTCCAGGGACCAACCTAGACCAAAAATTTAGGGAGACTTCACTTCTCCCTTAGAGAAATTTAGGGAGAAGTTTTGAAATTTAGGGAGACTTCTTGGCACGCGTCCCACACATTAATCATTATTAAAATTTTTAAAAATAAAATTATTTCATTGTTTAAAACTTATTAATAAATGCATTTCAATAATATTTATGTAATAACATCATACTAAAAATAATTAAAAAGAAAAAAAACTCTTTAGAATTTTTTAAAAATATTTTTCCAGTTACAAGAAATTAAATTATCTGACCCAAAATTAAACAATATTATTGTACAAGTTTCTTTTTGATAAACTTGTTTATCAATTTTTTAATTTAAAAAAAAAAATTTTTTCATTTCTTGCATAGTATGCACAATTATTTAATATTCTCTCTTGTTATTTTAGATTTTCAGGTTCTTTGCATAGTCATATTTTTTATTTTCACTTCAAAATTCATTTTCAATCTTAAATTCTTTTTCTAAAAAAAGTTTTTATGCACTACCATGACTACTGCATGTAGTAACCCATGCCGATTGAACTACTTGACTGTGTGTATTAGACGTGTGATTTCTTAGACAGTTATCGATAATAACTCCACAATATATAACTAACAGTCAAGATATATATGTCTGTATTCACAGCATGAATGAATTATTTAACAATAAAAAGATCTAAAATCATCTCCAACATCTTTGGCATGACATCGATAGCTGTCCAGCTGTGTGTACAACTTGTAACAACAATGGACTTTTACATTAACGGAAGTGTAAAATCTAGAGGAGTTCCGACAGAGTATTCGATGACTTGGTCATTAGTAGCGAAACAGGTGCAAGTGTCCTGCTGTTTCGTTTATTTCAGCAGTAATAAAACCAGATTTATACAATACTGACGATTCTACCATGTTTCTTAATAGATTTTTTATGATTCTCAATAAAGGAATTCCAAATGTTAAGGTGACTTGAACTTCGCTTTCATGATAAATTTCGGCGAAGTTTGGAGCTCAAAAGCGACTATTTCGCCTCAGTCGCCCCCTAGGTTGGTCCTTGTAGTTCCATATCTTATACCTATAAAACTTGAAATATCATATACTACCTGAAAGAATTACTGTATACAGGGAAATTTTCGCCCCCGTTTTATTTTCACCCCTTTCGCCCTCTCCTTGATTGGGTGAATTTAAAACGGAGCGAATTCAAATTACACAGCATAATTTCTTAAACAGAACTATGACTGGGCGAATTTAAAATGGGACAAAATTGTTCACAAGTTCAAGAGAGTGAAAATAACACAGGGCGAAAATAACCCTGTATAAAGTACCATGGTAATGTTTGGATCAGGTTTTGAGCCATTCTCAATTACTGGTACATGCATACATGTAAATGTACAAAGAGTAAACTTGATATCAACGTTACCTGAGGTCGGGCATTAGCAATGTCAAGGTCATGGAGCGTGACATCCTGTATGACCTCTTTCTTTTTGTGGACGTCCCCTTTAGGGAGGGGGACATATTCCTCTGCCTCCAGATCGTACTCTGTGGCATAGCTGTCTGATCGACCTTGTCTCTGTCGAGAAAAAATATTTTACAGAGATTTTCAAAGTATCATCAGACAAGTGTCTTCCTTAAAAAAAACAAAAGATAAAATTTCCCGTGAAATCAGATTCAGATTAATTTCATCATGCAGTAACTTTTATAATTTGATCACACCCTTGACCTTTACGTTTATTGACAAGATAAAAACAAACTCAGTCTCCTGGCTTTACCTTGACTGCTCCACTGTTGGCCTCTATGTATATCACATCCCCTACTTCTACTTTCTCTTTCTGTAAGCTTTCATAAATAGATGGATCAAGCTTCAGCTGTTTTGTTCCCTTGGCTGTTTTTAACCCAATTACAACATGACTGACTGTCTTTCCATAGCCTGCCAAAAAAATATAATATATAGAAAATTAAATCTTACATGATGTCACTTATTATGTACTATAATGATATTCCAATAAAAATATTTACAAATGGGCTATCTTCAAATAATTGCTTTATTGTCCTCTCCCAGTTGACTAGCTGTATTTGGCATGACTTAAAACCTTTATATAACCCCCACTTGAAAAGCAGGAGGGTATATAGTAATCATAATAATACTGTAATCGGGATGTACGTCAGTCATCTGTTAAGCTTTGGTGTACCCATCCCATATATCCACAACTCCTCTTATACCACTGTATGAAATTTGATGAGATTTTCAGAGAATCTTTATTACATAAAGCCATTGTGCACCTCCTTTACTTTTTGATCTGACATATACTTTGGGTTCCTGTAGCAAAACATGGACACTGTTATTATATCCTTACCTATGATGTGAGGTTAGTTAAACAATAAAATGCTTTCTTTGTTTGTTGTTACTGGAATGAACGGAAGCAGCTGTTGCAGAAAAAATACATAACCCGCGTAAGCGGGTTATGTAATTTTTTTCTGCAATAGCTGCGACCATTCATTCCAGTAATAACAAACAAAGAAAGACATTTTATTGTTTATATTTATATCTGTTTAAATTATCATTTTAAGTAGGATTAAAAATATATTAATTATTGTGTTAATGATGCGAACGTCTTTGTACGTTTCATTGATGGAACAGCCACTGATCAAGAAATCTGTATAGGTGATATGCCTAATGTAGTTCATGCAGTGATGAACGCAATGGGTTTTCTTATGAAATAAAGAAGAAAATATTCAGTGGATGTAAATATTGGCTTCTGAATAACGTAAAACCATGAGTTATTACTCTTTACACATTACCGTAAAACAATATAGAGAGGGCAAGAGATCTTCCAAAAGATAGATACATGTAACAAAGCTTGAGCAAGTACTTTTTGATCCGACACATATTTTGGATTTCCCATAGCAAAACATGGACACTGCCATTATATTTATAGGGGAGGCAGGGGGTATCATTTAGTGAGCTCGTTGCTCACAGTGCCTCTTGTTTACATTCCAAGAAACTTGTTTTTTCCTTTTTCATCCTATTATTCCCTCAATAAATTTAATAATATGTTAATATTTTTTGGGAAAAATAATTTTCCACCTACCTACCAACCCAATATTTACTATGAGTCGGGAGAGGGCAAACAAAAGACCTAAATGGCATTATTTTTGAATTACCTCCCATGGGGTTCTCTGTTTCTACGGGGGTCAGTTCTGACACCTCTCCCTCGTAAACCTCCTTGGTCTCTTTGATCCTCAGTCCGATGGCGCGGCGGAAATTCTCCATCAGAACTTCCGTCTTCTTGATTTCTGAGGAGTACACCTCGCTCCCTACCATCGGACAGAAGGGCACCTTTGTTCCCAGTTCCTGAGCAATGGCCAGAGCAAGGGCCGTCTACAACATTAAGGTCATGAGGTTATCAGGCTACGTACAATATGTACATTAATTCTACATGATGCAATACCTCAAAATTACAAGTCTGAAAACAAAGACTTAAGTAATAATCAGCACAAAGTAACGATTTTTTGTGTTCAAAATGTCCAAAGCATGAACTATTCCTTTTATCCTAAAATTTTGTAAAATTTGTATGTTCAAATGATTAGCTTAAAATTTCTCAAAGATTTTCTTTCTGGATCATATTTCAAAAGAAAGACATAATGAGTGTCCCAGTTCTTTTATCACCAGTGACTTTAAACTTTAGAAAATATACACAGAAAATGTATATCTGAGAGGTAATTTCAAAAATGTAAACTCATTAAGAAGAGAAATGCTGAGGTTTTTCTATTCCTACCTTTCCCGTTCCTGGTGGTCCAGCTAAAAGCATGGCTCTACCTGCCATCTTCTTTGACTTGATCAATTCAACCACGACACCTGCTGCCTTAAAACAAAAGAGCATCAACAGAATAAGTATGATACACATGATACATGCAAGTATACAATGTAACAGTATAGTCAATAGAATTATTTTTTTCTATTGTATAGTATGTGTTTGAAAATATAGGTGCAGGGAAGGGGAAGTATAAATATTTCCGTTTTGCTTTGAACCCACTTTTAAAGTGATAGCAAGTGCAGTGAGCTGCACTCGCCACTGTGAGCTCTTAAAGCAATGCCTAAGTCAAGAGAAATTTCAGACTTTACCAGTCCATAGCCTGAACAGTTCAGATTTTAATGAAATTTTTATTTACAATTTATTTGTAAATCAAGGCCAGTTTATTTTTTGTTGAGTTTTTGGTGTTATTCTTAATAATTGGTGCATTGTTGGTCCAGAAATAACTGCAGAAATTTTTTTAATTGGATCAATATGCAAGTACAGCATGTACAGGGCTCTCGATTCTCTAAATCTGGGGCTGATATTCGGCCCCGTTCCATATATAAAAAAGTTACCTTTTTTCCCAAAAGAAAGGTGTGTAATGTTTTTTTCTGTTTATATATGTAAATATGTTTAATACGGTTGTTAATAAAATAGGAATATCATTATTTGTTTATTTGATAAGCCCTAATCATGGTACCTGATTACCGCCCTTATCTTGGCAGTCTAATTAGTGTCCTAATTAACATGGTGCTTATCAGATACTATGAATATATTGTGTCTTGACACCTAACTATGGTGCAGAGGCCCTATAATACTTGGAGCCGATTGCCCTAACAGGGTGCCCTAATGATGGAGCCGATTGCCCTAACAGGTGCCCTAATGATGGAGCCTAACGCCCTAATAGGTGCCCTAATGATGGAGCCTAACGCCCTAACAGGGTGCCCTAATTCACGTTAGGTGTCAGGCAGGGTATATAAGGAGAGAGAGTCAGTGAGCAGATATACTTGAGATAAATTGCTTGTACTGGATTGTTAACTACGTTGAAATACTTTTAATACACTCGTTAAAACAAACTTTGTCGTTGTTCTGATATTAGATCTATAAAGATCTAGAGTTTCTGACTTTCTACACGGGATCCACAATATTTTGTGACGTGGGCTGAACACAGAGAGAAAAACGTTACATTGGTGGCAGCGGTGGGATCCAAAGAAGTTATTCTACGTGTTACACAGAAACGAGACGGCACTTAGTTTGAAATGGAGACACCTATCGTAAGGAGGAGAATCACGCCTAGAAAGGTAGGACAATATTTTGACAGTCCAACTCCCCTAAATGACTCTGGAATAGAGGTCGATACGGGGTGTAAAACAGATTTGCTGCCCACAAGTCGAGTAATGCCAGACGGTCCTAACTTTCAGGAGTTCGGGCAAAACTCGCAGGGTCTTTCTGTTCACGAGTACAATCCAAGACCAAGCTTAAAGAGAATCCTATTTGTTTGGGTACTCTTTGCTTTAATAGGATGTTGTCTGTTGGTGATGTCCTGGACCTATTTTCCGCAAAGCAAGGTCGTACAGAGATTGCAGGAAAATGCAGCTATTTCTCTAGTATTCGTAACAAGTATGGTGTTGCTTGTTATGGTGATCGGCATGGCATGGAAGTACGGAGAATCAGGTTTGTCGACTGCCAATAAGATAAGGGAAATTTCTTTGACACCTAATGATACACCCTATACTGGTGGTAGTGCGCCTAATGCCCCTACAGGTACCTATCAGGAACCTAAGGTTTTTGGGCAATCTGGACGCACTACTCCTCATTTGGGCAATCAGTCCCCTCAGGGACTCGGGTGCAATTTTAATATTCCTATGGCTGACGGGACACCTACAAACAGTCCTATGGCACCAAATGCTGGTCAACGAATACCCAGTAAGGAGGACTTTCTCAGGGGCCAATGATGATGTTTGGGATGAGTTCCTACAATATTTTGGAAACATCTCAGAATTAAACTTATGGGGACCCGAGAAATCTCGCAGAGTTTTACTCAGCACCTTACGTGGACAGGCCGAGAGCTATGCATATGGAATGCCTGTTGCTGTACAAAGAGATTATGAGGAATTGAAGGAAAAAATGAACCAAAGATTCGGCCACTCTGCAATGAAGGAAAAGTATATTGCAGACGCAAAATTGAGAAAAAGACTACCGGGCGAGTCCTTGCGAGATTTCGGACAGGCGATCGAAGATTTATTCCGACGGGCCTATCCAGGGAATCCGGATATGGTAGAGGAAAACGCTACAAAGTCCTTTTTGGATAAGTGTGGGCAGTCCAAAGAATTCCGCCTCGCAGTGAAGAGGACAAGACCCAGGACACTTCAAGAAGCAGTATTAAATGCCATGCAAGAAGAATGCTTGAGAATTGGGGAAAGAGAATTAACAAAAGAGACTAAACCAGTGTACAGGCCTGTATATGAAGTTGAGAATGGAAAATTAAATGAAAAATTAGCAGCTGCGGATACTGCCAAGCCTCCAAGCGCGGGTGACGGGTCATACAGTATCTTTCAAAACGTGAGAACCCCAAGTTCAATTCGGCATACCGGACCAGGGAGGAGGGGTCGCCCCTATTACCCCAGGTACCATAGCGAGAGAAGACAATTTCGACCTAAAACCAGTTCTCGAGACCAGAGCAATTGTGTTGAAAAGAGAACTGAAGGTAAAGATTTAAACTAGAGATGACTGATACCAGAGGCCAAGTGTCAGTCAACTCTAGATGGCCTATAACAAAGAGTAAGGAAACTCAAAACCGAAAAAGAAGAAGATGGAAGAGGAAAAAATTAAAACAAGGTCGAAGTAATACAAAGAAAAATGAAGATGTAAAAGAAGATATTGTCAGTGGTAAAACTGACACTGAGGTCCAACAGAATTTCGGACATAATATTATTAGAGGGACGCATTGTATGAAAGTATGCGGAATGTTAGAGGGAACATCTGTTGAATGGAAAATAGATACGGGGGCAAAGCGGACATTCATATCCAGAGAAACATATGACAGAATCTTGGATAAACCTCAACTAGACCCCGTTAGCGTAACATATGTTGTTGCTGATGGAAGAAAACTTGACTGTGCTGGAGAAACTACCATGGTACTAACTTTTGGAGAAGTTGTTTACGAGCACCTAGTCATAGTAGGAGGTGTCAACAGTAACCTCCTTGGAGAAGATTTCATAAGGAAATTCCGATGTAGCTGGGATCACGATGAATCTAGTTTTATCATAAAAGGAAGTAGGATCCCATTAGAAGCAGAAGGAAGTGCAGGGCCTGCACGTGTTGTTGCCTTAGAAACAACCCTTGTCCCAGCTGGTCGTGAAGTCCTTGTTCCTTCTGGACTCGTAGGGCGAAATGATAAAAACCCTAGAAATTTTCTTGGAGTTTTAACGCCTGAGAGACCTTTTATGGAACGTCATGGACTCGCAATCGCCAGGACATTAGTAGATGCCAAAAACGCTGTCATCTATACAAGGTTATTCAATCCAGGGGCACAAGATAAGATTGTCTACCGACATACGCATATGGCCTTATTCACCCCTATATATAAGGTCGGGCCGATAATAAAAATGGGAGACATTGAAAACAGTGTAGCAGAAATTGGTACAGAAACAAAATCAAAAGAAGAAGTACCTGAACATTTACATGATGTTTATAAGAGAGGCTGTGAAAAACTTGACCAAGAACATAGGGAAAAGTTTAAAGAGTTTATTATCAGGAAACAACACTGTTTTGCTAAACCTGGAGAAGTAGGGAGGACTAATCTTGGACATCATGAAATCAACCTACATAATGAACAAGAGGCCCATGGGCCACATCGCTCACCTGAGAAGCTTTGGCCATTCTGTTCTTTACCAGATTTCCCCCTTGTAATACATATTGTGACCCCACCCTACCCCACTGATCATAATTTAAACAATTTGAAATCTACACTACCCTAGGATGCTTCCATATAAGTTTCAGCTTTGATTTTCAGATTTTTTCTACATATTTCTATGTAAAACATTGAACCCACATTGTGGCCCCGCCCAACCCCCGGGGGTCATGATTTGAACAATTTAGAATCTACACTACCCCAGGATGCTTCCAAATAAGTTTCAGCTTCTCTGGCTCAGTGGTTCTTGAGAAGAAGATTTTAAAAGATTTTTCCTATACATTTCTATGTAAAACTTTGATTCCCCATTGTGGCCCCACCCTACCCCCAGGGGTCATGATTTGAACAATTTAGAATCTACACTACCCTAGAATGCTTCCACATAAATTTCAGCTTTTTTGACCCAGTGGTTCTTGAGAAGAAGATTTTTAAAGATTTTTCCTATATATTTCTATGTAAAACACTGATTCCACATTTTGGCCCCGCCCAACCCCCGGGGGTCATGATTTGAACAATTTAGAATCTACACTACCCCAGGATGCTTTCACATAAGTTTCAGCTTTTCTGGCCCAGTGGTTCTTGAGAAGAAGATTTTCAAAAATTTTTCCTTTATATTTCTATGTAAAACATTGATTCCCCATTATGGCCCCGCCCTACCCCTGGGGGTCATGATTTGAACAATTTAGAATCTACACTACCCAAGGATGCTTTCACGTAAGTTTCAGCTTTTCTGGCCCAGTGGTTCTTGAGAAGAAGATTTTCAAAGATTTTTCCTATATATTTCTATGTAAAACTTTGATTCCCCATTCTGGCCCCGCCCTTCCCCCGGGGGTCATGATTTGAACAATTTAGAATCTACACTACCCTAGGATGCTTTCACATAAGTTTCAGCTTTACTGGCCCAGTGGTTCTTGAGAAGAAGATTTTCAAAGATTTTTCCTATATATTTCTATGTAAAACTTTGATTCCCCATTGTGGCCCCGCCCTACCCCTGGGGTCATGATTTGAACAATTTAGAATCTACACTACCCAAGGATGCTTCCAAATAAGTTTCAGCTTTTCTGGCCCAGTGGTTCTTGAGAAGAAGATTTTCAAAGATTTTTCCTATATATTTCTATGTAAAACTTTGATTCCCCATTGTGGCCCCGCCCTATCC